TCCCTGATGCCTGTCATGAACCCCATATACGAGTACCAACTCTGTGCCAGGTTCTGTGCTGGGCCTTTTACAAATCTTTTTTTTTTTTTTTTTTTGTAAATCATCACAATAGCCCACATGATATACCTTGAGCAGCTGGCTCAAGGTCATTCAGCAAGTCAAGCTAACTCTCATGATATACCTTGAGCAGCTGGCTCAAGGTCATTCAGCAAGTCAAGCTAACTCTATGTGACTTCAATATCCCAGTTTGCCCCAGTGTCTACCCCAGTCCTGATGTGGTCTTTCACACTGCAGGGAGGGACTGGAGGGGATAGTAGCAGGTAGACTCTGGAGCCAGTCCACCTGGGTTCGTATTCTGACTCCATTACTTTCTCACCCTGGGCAACTTATTTGTCCCCTCTGCCTCACTGACCTTATCTGTTAAATGGGGATGATAATGGTATGCAGGTTAAAGAGGCTTAGTTTTTTGTTTGTTTGTTTTTGAGACAGCGTCTCAAGCTGTCACCCTGGGTAGAGTGCTGTGGCATCACAGCTCACAGCAACCTCAAACTCTGGGCTTAAGTGATTCTCTTGCCTCCGCCTCCCAAGTAGCTGCAACCACAGGTGCCTGCCACAATGCCCAGCTATTTTTTGGTTGTAGTTGTCATTGTTGTTTGGCAGGCCTGGGCTAGATTCAAACCTGCCAGCTCTGGTGTAAGTGGCAGGCGTCCTAGCCACTTGAGCTATAGGCAGTGAGCAGAGGCTTAAATTAGTTAATATGCATAAAGCCTGGCACCTGATAATTGTTAGCTATTATTATTAGTTAGGTCCCTACTGTGTTCAATGCCTGATTCTAGCCACCATGGGAAACAGGAGACAACAGTGATGATGCTGGTCTTCAGCCTAGTTAGCTAGGGTGCTCCATTTGGCCCTTTTGCTGTTCCCGGGTGTTCCAGCTCTCAGGAACCTTACTGAAGGGAGTGTCTATGTGTGTCTGGCCTGATTACCATCCCTGCCATGGACAGAAACTCTTGGGTTAGGGTCTCTGGGTTTGTAAAGCAGTTGAAGGGATGAGACTGGCCTCAGTGAGAGTCTGAGCCTCCTGCTTACAGGTTGGATCTGGGTGCTTCCTTGCCTCATCTGGTTCTCAGTGCAAACATTGTGCATTCATTCATGCCCAGACCACTACTGTACCTGCTGCCCAAGGCTCTGCCCAGTGTTTCTCCCCAGGAGTGAGGGTGGGAGGATTTGTACCCCAGCCCCTCCCTCCATCTGCCTGAAGTAGCAGCTATGCCCACATCTGTCACTGAGCTGGGCCTCAGGGTCCTAAAATTAGTGCATTCTATGCTCACCATTGTCAAGAGGGTGGTCCCACAGAGGTGCTTGTGTTCTCATCCCCAGAATCTCTGTCCAAGAGACACAACCAGTGCTATGCTGATAAGTGTTTAACAGCCAATTCTCAGGAGGAAAAAAGCCTTGATTTGTAACATCAACCTGTATCTGTGGTGTAAGTTCTCCTGCCATAGCTGATTTCAAGCTATCACATCACATCCCTAATCACAGAGTTGGGAAGAGACTCACAGCAGCACACTATTGAATAGCATCTCTGCTAGAGGTGCAATCTCTATAAATAACCCCAAGAGTACAGACAATAGTGAAATGTAGTCAAGTAACTAGGAAGTCCTAAGTATTGAGTATTTCTCACCTTTGTTTATGGTGTAATTTATTTAACTG